CCCCCTTGAGATTCTCCCACCAATTCCCTGCAATCGATAGTCACTGCAGTCTCTCCCAGGCGCTGTTCTCCTTTTACCAGAGCCGAATCTCCTCTTCACACATTTTGATCAATCAATTCTGCAGATCGATCCAAACCAAAGAAGGTCGGAGAGATGAATCAGTGGGTTGTTATTGTGCTTGGCATGGATCCTGTGGCCTTTGAGACATTGATCTCTCAGATGGCGTAGTCGGCGAATGAGCTATGGATGTAAGCGGAGGTACTTTTCAATGTATGGTCGCAAGCTAATCTTCAAGTCTTTTATTTTTTTGTGCATAAAAATTATAACAAAACAGGCCATTTTTGTGCTAGGATTGCAAAGATATGTCTTTTTTTTTTTGGATGCTCACACTTGTGACTTCTTTTTTTTTTTTTGTGGTTGAAGAATATATCAACCATGCTAGTTCTTTCGTGTAGCCTTTATAGCTATTTTTATTACTTTTTGGCTTTGTTTAATACAAAATGCACTTCTCAAGGAGGAAGGGACCAGGCATCTTGTGGTGATGTTTGTGATAACTCTTGATGAAGCACGTGAGAGAGCCCTAGTGATGATGAGAAGGCTGCCCCTACAAACTCTCCTCCGGAGCCATTTTCTGCATTATGCCCTCCTCCGGAGTTTTTCCCTGCAGCAGGCCCTCCTCCAAAATTTTTCCCTGCAGCAGGCTCTCCTTTGAAGTTTTTTCCCGTATTAGGCCCTCCACCGGAGCTTTTTCTGCAGTCGGGCCTCCACCAAAATTCATCGTGCAATAAGACCACCAAAATTCTTCCTACAACAGGCCCTCCGCCAGAATTCTTAGGCCCTCCACCAAAATTCATCGTGCAATAAGACCTCCACCAGAATTCTTCCTACAACAGGCCCTCCGCCAGAATTCTTCTTGCAATAGGCCCTCCTCTAGAGCTTTTCCTACAGACTGCAGCAGGCCCTCTACCATAATTCTTCCTACAGCAAGCCCTCCTCCTGAATCGTTCCTGCATCAGACCCTCCTCCGAAATCGTTCCTGTCGCAAACCCTCCTCTGGAGCTTTTCCTGCAGCTGGCTCTTCTTTTGAACTTTTTTTAATATCAAACCCTCCTCTAGAGCTTTTCCTATATAATGCCCTCAAGCGAAGCTTTTTCTGCATCAAACCTTCTAGAGCTTCTCTACAATAAGCCCTACTCGGGAGCTTTTCCTATATCAGGCCCTCCTCTAGAGTCTTTTCCAGCAGCAAAGCCTTCCTCCGAAGCTTTTTCCTTTTTTCTTTGCAGGTCAAACCTTGTAGCATTTTCTTAGAGGTTGTCTACTTCCTTGGCCCTGCAGCAATACCTATAAGAGTCTTTCTCCTATCTAAAGACACTACAGGAAATTCAATTAAAGACAACCGCAATCAACTAAATGTCAATTTTTTATGCAGGTTGTCTACTTCCTTGTAAACTCCCATACAACATTACCTATAAGAGTTTTTTGCTTACCTACAGACACTGCAAAAACTGCAGTCAAAGACAACCACAGTCACCTAGAAGTTAATTTTTCCTGCAGATTTGCAGATTGATTACTTAGGAGCCTTCCGCCTAACTACAGACACTGCGAGAACTGCAGTCAAAGATAATCACAGTACATGCAGAAGAATTTAAGTTCTGTTTCACAAGATATTCCTCGTGCATTGTTTGATGTTTTCAAATCCAAGATGAACATGATTTTCAATCATGTTTCAACTTAATGAGTGTTAGAAGTTATATTAGGAAATAATTTATTCTTATTAGAAGTTATGAGGATTAGATTTATTTCCTAATATAATTTTATTTATTTTCCTATTTTAAGCTTTCCTATTTTATGTTATTTCTTTTTATCTCCAAATAATTAATATGAATCGATTAATTAAAGTTATTAGATGTTATATCTTTTCTTTCCTGATATTTTTTTATTGTTTCTCCTATTATAGGATTCTTGTAAGGGTTTATACACATTTTCATATCAATAAAAAAATTTGCATTATTTTGAATTTCAACAATAATAACTAAGTTAATCTTTGATAAATAATTTAATATTCAATTTACTTCAAATCTAATAATTGATTCATAAGGAGTAATCTCCTTTTTAAGAAATCAATGGTTCTTTTATTAAAATTTTCTACGGCAAAGATATCTTGTTAAAATTCTAGTCCCTTCTATCTAGAATTATAACATTTTTTATTTAATGACATCATAGTAATAATGTTGATCGTACTTAATAATAATAGTTGAAATGTTGTATCATGAAATAAAAATTAGGTTAAAGCATAAATACCGTTACTGTAAGTAATTTTCATACAAATGCTCACTAAGAAAATTATAAATTCTTAAATCATTCATACTTATTAAAAATAATACGATTAAATATACAAATATTTAATTATGAATAAGACTTTACATAAATATAATCTTTCCAGATGAAATAAGCTATACCATACTTTGAATTATATTAAATAATTTGAAATTTATCCTTTTACTTTACATTATTATTAAACTATAGTTACATATTGAATTAGCACTTCATCATAATTTTATATAAAATTAAATTATAAATTAAATTTTAATTAGTCTTCTCGATATAATTCCTCAAAATTAGTATTAAAAACCATAAATTTTTTTCTGTAAACTAAGTTGTAACTCCAAATGAAACATCTTAAAGTATTACAGAAACTCTAACCTAAAAGTATTTTTTTTAAATAAAGAATATATAGTTTTTCACATAAATCTTACTTCAAAATTCTGTTTAAGTTAAAGATAAGAAAAATCTCTTTTCCCACAACTCAAATCAGTCCAGAATTGCCAACTCGCTTCCACAGTGCTCGATTCGGCGCTTGAAGGTTCTACTCAACCTGTTTGCTTGTCTCATGCAAGGCAGCTCCATCTCCTTGCCTTTGCGCTTGCCTACTTGAATTTACATTCCCTTTTCGAGCCTTGCTCAATGATTTTGAACATGCTCGCTCAACACTATCGCCTTTAGTTCGTGATTAGCTCGGGCATCATTTAATGTTTTGCAGATGTCTATAACTTTTTCATGCCTCGCAAATTTCACATCATTACATTCTCAAACAAGAAGAAGGGCTCTAATAAATATAGACACACATGACCTGCAATTGGAATCATTGTTCTCTCTTTTGTCAAATTTGTGGGTGATGTATTAAGACTAATTGGGAAAAACTTCAAGGGGAATGAAGTAGTTCAAGCGATTTGTGGCTTCTACAAGTCATGGCTACCTTGCAACTATTGGTTGAACAAAGTTCAGAAGTGGGTGACACCCATGATGAATTCACGTAGTTGAGTGATCTCTTGATGTATAATTCTTATAACACTTCTTTTTTACGTGAAGGAGAGATTGTTAAGACACATAAACCTTGGAGTTTAATCTCAATAGTTGAAAATTATAATGTTAGTGAAAAAATGTTGTAGTTGGTCATCACTCGTAGGCTTAAACTTTTACAATGAAAATAAATTAGGTCAATAATGTAATTTGCCTAAATTTATTACACGCATTCATGCGACCATTCATCCATCTATATTTATAAGCTTAAATCAAGGTCATGTTCTTGACAAGGAAAATCTTAATGAATATTTTGAGTAATTATTTCGCTTCAATACGTTCTATTGCTTGAAATTTCAGCACTGCATTCCAAATTATTGTAAATTTACTACATTATTAAAAGCTATTGCTGGCAGTATCTTTTTCAGTCCCATGTTCCATCAGACAAAACGATGGAAGATCGTTGTTAAGATACCAAATAGATGATATGGAGAAGTGAAGTTAATATTCATATCCACAACAATATCATGCATCTTAATGCTAATGAAATAGATAAAGTTTTTTATGATATTTGAATAATTTGTTAGAAATTGAGTTAGAGGATTTTTTTGTACAATGGATGACTTTATGTATGCCCATAAAATACCATAGACAATCTTCACATGTTTACATGATAAGTTTTATTATGTTAAAAAAGATAGAAATATATTAAAATATTCATAGTGCTTAAGGCTAACGTTACAACAATATTTATTTATACTTGGAAGTGGAATGAAGAACGATTATGAAGGTAAGCAAATACATAGGGACTAGATGATTGATCTGTGAAGGGAAGAGCTCAAGTGAGGACAAGTTCTCAGAAAGATGGGCATTACAAGTGAAAGGTAGGGTAGTAGTATTTTAGTACAATTACTTTCAATGCATCTCCGATATTAGGAGTGTCAAATCAGATTCACGGATTTGTTTTAGGGTTGACAAGACCTAAAACTCCTTAACCGGGACTAGGCTTGGATACTAAACTGGTTAAGAATTTCAACCCAAACCCAACACTCTAACCGAAAACTGACCCATATAACCCAATTAACATAAGGCATAACAAATACTGATGTCAAATTCGAATCAATTTCAAGTTAGTCTCGAGCAAAATTCAGGCCGATTTTCAATCTCGAGGCAATTTTGAATTGCATGGTTAATTTTTGTTTGGCAGGCCAACCCAAACCAACCTAAACAATTATGCAGGTTAGGATTCCTAACCTGAACCCAACTCGAAAATTATGAGTCAATCGGAACTCAATTTTTTCAGTTGAGATTTGTTTGAGTTAGCATGTCAAGTCAATCTTTGACACCCCAATATCATATGGGAAAAGTATGATTATTATGATACTAAATTGGCGATAGGCGAATAGGACAAATATTGAAGCTCCCCGGCTCTCAATTGCCTTTGGAATTGAGAGATAATAGAAATAGGCTTTTTGAAAGAGGATTCTTAAGAAAAAATGCAAGTTTGTCTCAATAATATAGGGAAAACCATAAAAAAGGAATCACCAATCTTGGCATTTATAGAAAGGTATCGTGAATTAGGAGTTTTACAAGCTTGGAATTCACAAAGACATCTCAAGAATTGGGAATTCAGTGAAGAGATAAAAGGGGAACTATAGGTGACAAATAAACAAGTAAAAATACGAAGAAAAGTAAATTCAGTTTGGCCTTAATTTTTTTTGTTTCAAAAATAAATATCATCATCATCAGCCTTATCCGAGCTATGTGGGTTGGTAAATTTAATAATGGATAATTCAATACAATTAATTCATATCTCAATTTATAGAAATATGATGGATCACTCAAACAGCTTTATATTTAATTCCAAAAAGTTAAAGAAGTGATAAAATAATCCAAGAGAAAAAGATATTTGTAGATAATTCTTTACATAAAAGTAAAAACATAAAAGAAGAATATAATACCAAAAATACTTTAAAACACTTGAGGCTTGTCAAGGAGTGCTTCCAAAAGAGCACGCTTAACTTTAGTGTTTCAGATGAAAATTTCAACTATTATACTAAAAAACACGTTGATGTTTAAGAGTTCAGTTTCATTCTAATTAAGGGGTTTCACAATCTCCCCAACTTAGGTAACTAACATCATGATCAGTATTCTTAACCCAGAATCATCCACCAGGCAGATAGGATTCTAGAGATGGCCCATATAGATTCTAGAGAAAGCTCCCACCATGTGGCCCTTTATCCCATTTTAGGGCTCAAAAGATGACTCCCATGACATGGCATTTTATTTTGTATAACATTTAATTCTCATCTTTAGACTGGTGTAATGCTCTAAAACTATTTGTAATAACCCAAACTCTCACCTATCAAGATATTTTCCACTTTGGCTTGATTCCCATAAAGACACTTGAATTTGGAATTCTAATGCAATTCCAACTGTTATACAAGGCACCTCGATGTTTAAAAGTTCAATTTTATTCTACTTGCGGATTTTCAAAAAATATTAGTTGTGTATTTTAAGAAACAAAATGTGTTAAAATACAAAGTTCTATCTTCAAAGTTTCAAGCTATTTTACCAAGATCTTCATTTCAAAATAAAGGTGATACCATAAATGTTTTCATTTGTTTGCTAATAAAAGTTATCTATTTCCTTTCTGGATGCAAAGAACAATAGATTTTACTCACGTAAAAGTTTAAATGGCAACGAATAACACTACATATATATATATATATAAGATAATCGTATTTTCTAAGCTACACCTGTTTTTCACCAGTGTAAAACTTAACCAACATATATTCAACAAAAGGAGCCGTTAGAAGATTTCAGGTGTCAATAATTAAAAATAACATAAATTAGAAATAACAACATAAACTAAATAAATTTGATAATTTAATAACCTGTTGGTTAAAAAGAAAAAGGCATTAAAATATAAGAAAGGTGTGTCATCAACAACTCTTTTTTCAAGTTAATAATTCAAATAGCAATCCATGATTATGCAAGTTTAAAGAAAGCAAATATCCCTAAGTAATCCACGAAAAGATAATAGGTGCTTACCGTTTTGCTGCTGTGGCAAGCTTACCACCAGGATCTATGCCCCTTTGAGCTATCACGTGTCCAAGATTCATAATGGGAATTCCATGGATAAACTCCATCACTAAGACCTTCCTACCCGCATAGGGAAAAAAAATTTGTCACCAAATGGCAGAGATACATGTATAACTAAAAAGCCAACATCTATTGAAGATATCACTCAAGGAAAATGTTAGTTGAGTCTGCATTTTCTACCACATAATTCATTTTTAGAAAAAACTGCGGTCATAATAAGATCATGGATGCAACTTGGAAAAAAGAGCAGATTCATACAGGGATATCAACAAGAGTACAAGGCTTCATCGCACCCTGATATGATCATGAGCTGCATAAATCAATTTTGTAGTGCTCATATATTTTGTGGCATCAATGACATATCTTTTTTTGTTATATTCATGCCACTACATCTTATATGTGGTTTAGTGCAATTGTCTATTTCAAGTCATCATTGGTATTCTTAAAGATGTTTAAGATAATTGATTTAAAAACCCTATATCATAAATATAGAAACTTAGGATTAAAATTCTCAGTCTTAAACAATGAATGAATTCTTTAAAGCATAGTAAACTGATTCACATGCTCATCTACTTCACGTTGTACAACCAGTATAAAATAACTTTGGTTTTGTAATCATACAAGGTTGGGACAATGCTGAACAATGGTCATCATGGTGAATGCATGGATGTAAAAGGTAAGCGTATCTTCTTCATGATAATCTAAAGTCTGGGTATCTCCAGACTTTACAAAGATGTACATTACCAGCTTTAACGAAAAAAAAAAAACAGCAGCAATTAAGCATCTCTCCATTGATTCTAAAGGTGAGATTGAGACGAAGGTAAAATTAATATAATTCCTTCACAAGTTAAAGCAGCTTTAGGACATGCATTTGACAGTTTTCCCAAACATGCTTTTCTTTATCCGAAGGATTCACACTGAACATACCTGGTTACCATGCCATTGATAACGCGCGGCACAAGAACAGGAGTTTTTCTATTGTTGGTGCCAAAAAAATTTCTAATTCTTTCCATGGCCTCAGCCTCCCGCCGAAAATCAAATTCATACTGAATCTTTAATAGAATAAAAAATAAAAAAAAAGAGAAAAGGCATATAAGAAAAAATATGTATACCCAACAAACAAAAATTACACTGAATAAAGAGAAAAGGCATATAAGAAAAAATGTATACCCAACAAACAAAAATTACACTGAATAAATATAATTTCAAACAAAAAAGAAATCGCTGATCAACTTCTTAAGCATTATTCAATAAAATGGTCAGAGATAACCTTGTTGGACAGGAATATGTTGCATGGAACACACGCACACACACATATATATATGAAATTCTAGTTGTGATACTAGCACAAATCAATCCGGTCAAATGTTAGTTTTAATCTTATTCCTTGCTTTTGGTCTGTATTTTCTTTCTTTTAACCCCCAATGTTTATAGGAAGATATTTCAATAAACTAAATGGGTTAGAGAATAGGCTAAGGAGATTAAAAGATAAGGTTCTAGAAATTAATAGAATTGGAGATATAATTATAACCCTAAAGATTGTTGTTGATACTAAGATTTTTAATAGTACAGGTACTTATGCTCAAGTATGTTTAGATAAAGGTCCAAAAAGAAAAAAACTTTGAATGACCTAGAAGAATTAATATAGATGATACTTCTTGAAGAAAGAAATTTAATTGGAGGAGATTTAAATGAATGTGTTGTTGGTAAAGGGGTAGAAGGTTTAAGAAATATCATGGTGGCTACGATTTTGGAGTGATTAATATAAAATGTAGAACCATATTAAATTTTGAAGTAGCATGTGATTTTGTTATTGTTAACACTTTATTTAAGAAAAGTGGTGAGCATATTATTACTCATAAGAATGGATGTAATAAAACACAAAAGTGATTATTTTCTTATGAGCAAAAGAGAACGTCGAGAATATAAAGATTGTAAGGTCTTTCCAAGTGAAAATTTAAATATTCAAAATCAATCATTAGTTTTAGATTTTAAAAAGAAGAGTCGTAAGATAAATAATACAATGAAACATTATCGTAGAATTAGATGGGGGAATCTAAAAGACACAGATAAAATTATTTCTATGAGTAAACTTCAAGATTTCAAGACTTCAAGATTTTAGATGCTCATGAAGAAGCTAATTTTATGTGAGATAAAATAACAAACCTTATTAAACAAATGACAAAAGATGTGCTAAGACAATCAAGAATAAAAGCATTTATAAATAAAAATAGTTAGTGATAGAATAATAATGTGCAAGAAAAAAAAATATAAGTTGCAATATAAAAATGGGTTTAAATGTAAAATCATAGAAAATTGGGAAAAAATATAAGGTATAAGGTGGCCCATGAGGAGTCTAAGAGATCAATTTGTGATTCTAGTGATCTTTATAATAGCTTATATACTAAAGATGGCGAAAAATATATATAAAAACTAGTCAAACAAAGAGAAATAAAATTATAGATTTAATTTAATTAAAGTGTATAAAATATGAAAATCAAAAAAAATTTTCTTCGAGAAAGATATTCAAAATAGGCGGGTAAGCTATTTTGATAAACATTCAATGAAATTTCTAAAAATGCAATCGACCTTAGTGATTTTAATATCGTTAATAATAATAAAAATTTCTATCTTTACTATCACATTACTAAAATAAAGTTGAGGAGCCTTAAAAAAAACTGGTAAAAATCAGTAGGACCTATGATATCCCAATTAAAGTTTGAATATATTTAAGATATTTGGGGAGTTTCTTGGCTTACTAAACTCTTTAATATTATTTTAAAAGCTAAAAGATGGAGTGGATGAAGAGTATTTTGGTCCCCATTTTTAAGAATAAAAGAGATGCATGGGAGCATGCCAATTTGGGAGCGTGCCAATTATAGATGAATTAAGTTAATCTATCATACTTCAAAATTATGGTAGAGGGTAACAAAACAAAGGTTAAGACATGATAAAAAGATGTCTAATAATCAGATTCGATTTATGTCGGACAAGTCTACTATGGAAATTATAAAATTATTGAGAGGTTTGATGGAGAAGTACAGATAAAGTAAGGAGGATCTACATATGAATTTTATTAATTTAGAAAAAGTTTACGATAAGATGCCAAGATAAGTTCTTTGGAGAGTTCTAGAAAAGAAAGGTGTTGATATGACTTATATTCCATTCATTAAGGATATTTATAATAGAGTTGTTACTCTTGTTCGAACAGAAGGAAGATTGACAAAGTATTTTCCTATTTCTTGGACTACATCAGGGATCGGCTTTAAGCCCATATCTTTTGCTTTAGTTATGGTTGCTCTTACTAGACATTTATGGGAGAATGTACCCTAGTGTATGCTTTTCGACAATGATAACCCTTTTGTGGATTAGATTAGATAAAGAGTTAAAAAAAACAAGAATTATGGAGGTCTACATTGGAGTCTAAAGGCCCTTCTTTGAGTAGATCTAAAACTGCATATATGAAATGTAATTTTATTAGTACTAGCTCTAGTGGAAGAGATGTAAATATGGGTGATCAAATCATTAAGATGTCTGAGCGTTCTCGGGTCTACTGTTCAAAGCGATGGTGATATAGATGAGAATGTTATCAGTAGAATTCAGGTTGGTTGGTTGAAGCGGAGGAATGCATCGGGCCTATTGTGTGAAAGAAAAGTACCGCTTAGACTTAAAGGAAAATTTTATAAGATGGTTGTGAGACATGCAATGCATTATAGCGCAGAATGGTGGCCACCAAAAGAAAAGCATATAACAAAGTTAAGTGTTGCTAAGATGAGGATGCTCAAGTGGATGAGTAGCTTGATACTTAGAGACTAAATGCAAAAGGAATTTACCATTGAAAGGGTTGGTGTAGCTTCAGTGGCAGACAAGATTACAGTGAGTCGTCTCAGATAGTTTGATCACATTAAACGTCGACCATCTCATGATCCGATTAGGAAAATAGATGTTTTAGATTCGACTTATGTTAACAAGGCAGAGATAGACCTAAAAAGACTTGGGCATATTGTATAAAAAATAATCTTAACCTATTATAATCAAATAAAAAAATGACACTCAATAGGACACAATGGAGAAAAAAGATTCATGTAGCCGACCCCGCTTAGTGGGATAAAGGTTTGTTGTTATTGTTGTTGTAGTATTGTTGTTGTTATTGTTGTTGTAGTCGTCGTCGTAACTCCCAAAGTTTAATTTAAGAGTACAATGTAAAAATTGTCCCCTAATTATTTAGGGTCACTTTAGTCCCAAATTCAATAAAAGTGTCAAATTAGTCCCCAGATTCTTTAATATGGGATGAAGTAGACACGGAAAGAACCATTTTGGCCCCATTTAAAAGACTTTGGAGGCTAAATTGACATTTTTACAAACTCAGGGACTAAAATGACCCTTTACAAAGAGTGAGGGATAAACCCTTCTCTTTAATTTAAATCCTAGAAATCCCTCCAAAAACATTTTAAATTCACCAAATAAATTATAATACTTCAAAACATACCAAATTTGGAGCCAATAGCTCAACCTTATTTCAAACAATATAATGAATCTACTTTGTAAAGAAGATTTCAATAAAATTGGTAAAGGAAGCTCAACAAAAGTTATTTCTAGGAAGTCTGGCATTTACTTCAAGCGAGAAAATTAGTATGCTAGCTTCTCTTGAAAGCATTATTTTTTAGTGACTGGGACATTTTTTCGTGGAGTTAAAAATTCAAGCAATTCTTCAAGCGAGAAAATTAGTATGCTAGCTTCTCTTGAAAGCATTATTTTTTAGTGACTTGGACATTTTTTCGTGGAGTTAAAAATTCAAGCAATTTCAAATCTCTAAAGTTTTTTTATGAGACATTTATTAAGTACAATTGTGCTGCATCTCATTTAGAGTACCCAAGTATTATACCACTTGTCCACTTCAGACAAATGAAACCTGCAAGTGCTGATTGATGATTTCTAAGAGCTTGCTTGTTGAAATGAAACAGTTCAAATTGCTACAAACAGGTGATTAAGGAAATAAGAGTATCATTTCCAAATATAAATTATGAAGATCTTAAGTAAAAGACTTCAATAAAAAAACAAATCTAAATTTGATTCTCAACCTCTCCGTCCCCCAAAAGTTCTATTTGTTTAATTAATCTCAGGCAAAATATTTGAAATTGCCTAGTACAAATTCCATCCATCCTTCTCATGTTTCCTCTGATTGATTAAATGTCATAAAACTATGAAAACAAATAAAAAATTTTGTTTCCTCAAATTGTCTGTCCTCTCAAACTCACAATGGTAGTTTTTTTGTTTTTTTTTCCTGTTATCTATATCAAAAAAACCTTTTCTACTAGTTGGCTCCTCTCAATGGATAATTTTTATCGATGCGGAAGTGTTTAAAATATTTGACAGTGAATTATAACCCTCCATTATAGGATATCACCAGAATTAGCAGTATAACTACCAGAAGTTAACTCCTTACACTGAGAAATAAAAAAATTTACTAAAAAAACACAAAGTAACAAAAATAACAAATACCTGCTTTTCCACTTCCTTCGTAAGAGAAAATAGATCAAATTTGATCTCCCTTTGCAGGAATTTAGCTAATGCTTGCAAATTATGGATATCTACCATCATTAGATTCTCAACACCAGGATGTTGAACCTAAATCAAAACCCAAGAAGAAACTTGAGCATCGACAATGATTGAAAAAGAGGACAAACTAGAAGTTACACTCACCTTAACCGCAACATCAGTCTTTGCATGTCTTAATCTTGCGCGATGTACCTACAATTGCAGATACCATCGAATTTGTAACTTTCAAAGAAAATTTTAACATGCTGACAACAATCTAAAAAATAATAAGATTATCTGAAACAGGTAAAATAGTTTACCTAGTGATAGAAACCTTTACAGAGATAAGCCAATAGCTTCCTATAGCCAAAACATTTAATAATGTTTAGATAAATCTCTATTGAACTAACTACTAAGTCGCAATTATAAATTTATAGAACAGGGCCACAATTCAAATTGGGGTATTATCACACAGGCAGTCAATTGATCGGATTCAGTGAGTCCAAAACATAAAGCTTGGCATTTTCAAGTGATCAAAAGAGACCGACTTTCTCAAAAGAAAAGAATAACTAGTAATTACACAAACAATTACAACATGACAGTAAGTTTTGGCAAAATGTACTATGCTAAGAAGGATGTTAAGCTATTATCTGAAATGGATCGATAGGTAGTAATGCTTATTAAAAAGACCAACAGAATGAACCAATCGAATCACCAACTTAATTATTAGAAAGTAGATTTGACCATTGGAAAATTCACTAAGCCTTCGGGCTACTCAGCTATTTTTAAAGGAGAAAGTGGTATATTATTTACAAAGGATATCCCCTATTTATAAACAGAAATCACATATAATATTTTAGGGAACACCCAAAAAAACAAAAAACGATTCTCCATATATAAAGAAGTTTCATATTTAATATAAATATATGCTAAAGCTGCCCCACGGATTAGATTATATATACCAGCTAATTGTTAACTTTTTGGAGCCAAAGATAAAGAAGACCTAAAGCTTGGATAAATATATCAACAATTTGTTTTGGACTGAGCATAATCTTCTTGGAAAGCATGGTATCTTAAATGAAATGATAATCAACTTCAATATGTGCGGTTCATTCATATGATACAATGTTATTAGCAAAAGTAGAAGGCAATATTAATTCCACAGCACAATATCATTAACTAACAAAACGAACTCTCTAAGTCTTTACCCACATCATTTAATGTGCATGATCAATAAGCATAACCCTGAATTAGCCTCAAGATTGAATATTGGCATCAATTTCTTTTTCACATGACTAAGTTAGTAAAAAAAAATGCAATTTCTAAATATTAACTCCTCATCTTCAACTGAGCAACTTCCCCTCTTCAACTTAGCCGGTATAATCAACATATGAGCATGCTTCCACATTCAGGAACTCAATCTTTGAATATAGTAATCCTTTTCAAAAAGATAAATATATTCTCGAGTGTTCCAAAAATAGCCTCCCAATGTTTCTACTTTGGAGCTTGCATGTGCTAACTAATAACTCCGATGATAAATAATGTAATAATTGTATATATATAAAATATATAATAACAATAATAATAATAATAATTTAAATCAACATGTTGTTTTCAACAAAAACCGGCTCGACGGTTTTGATGGTAGGAGACAAATATGGCGTTTCATTCGAACCAAAGGAGAACAAGCTAGAGAGATAGTGAAAGGAGAAGGAAGAAGTGGCTTGTGGGGCAAGCGGTGCAGTTGTGTGTGGTTGTGGGTGTCGAAGCCAAACATCGAAGAGCTAGAAGAGAATGTGCGCGCTCTGTTCTCGAAGGAAGAGAATGGGGGAGGCTTGCTTTGGGGAAGGAGGAAGAATGGCTGACATGCCAAGGGTTTGGAGGTGAGGAGCCTTGCAAGCATCCTGTGTAGAAGATGAGTGGCATCGAGGAAGAAGAGCATGGGCTCTATGCATTCAGAAAAAATATTATGTGCTTTCTCCTAATGCATCCGGATTTCATGTGCAATTAGGTTGTAAACAATGTACAGATTGTTGTACAACGTGTACAACCTTATTGTATATAAAATTCGGATGCATCGGGACAAAACATGTAATATTTGCTTGTGCGTCCGCACAGGAAAAGAGCATCATGTGGGCGAATTTATGTGTGTGTGTCCTGTGCGGAGGAGAAGAGAAGGAAATGAAGGAGAGGCTTGAGTGCAAGAGATGCAACCAAACATTATATTATAAATTAAAAGATTTTGTTTTAAATTAAAATTTTTATATTAATATGAATATTATGAATTGAAGGAGGGATAAAAGGGCTTTTGATTCAAGGATTTGAACTTTGGATCATAATTTTTACAAGAAGGAGAAATAGATGATTAAAGTAAGGATTATAGTTAATCATAATTTAGTAATGTTTAATTTCAATTAAAGTTAGATATTATTTTTTATCTTATACTAATTAATAACAGATGCATAGATTAAAGAATTTCGCTTCCCAAGGACACGAGATTGGAATCATTGTTATCACACAAGAGGAGCAAGGAAAAAATATAATAAAAGGCGGGGCTTTAATCTTTTACATCAGAGACACACCCGGCTTTAATCTTTTACATCACTTATGTTTTTTTTTGAAATAATTGGTACTCAAGCATCTAGAAATGGAAAATGTGAGTATGTTCTAGGAGTTAGACTTGATTACTTGCTTAAAGTGGTGAAACTATGGCATGTTTTTATTTATAGCATACTTCTTGTAGCATACTTCTATTGGAGTGTTGACCTCATTTTTGTAAGGTCTTTTCTTCTCAGCATACTTCTATTGGAGGCAATTAGGAGGGTTGAAACATGGCTTTGAGACAATGTTAGCTCCACTTGCAAGCATGTTAGGATATGTATCATGAAGCTTTCATTTATTCTTATCTAGCATGAGACATTGGAAGGTTTATTTGGTCTTTCACGCATGTGGGGCTCAGTTTTAGCTCCTATAGTTGCCTCATTTGTTCGAAATCTATATGGAGTATGAAAAGATTTATTTTTGGAAGTCTCTTGAAGTTTATCTCGAAGGCTTGGTTTTGATTTATCACTGCTCTTTCTCATTCAAGTATTGGTTCAGAAAAGGAATTTTTGGAGGCCTTGAAATGTTAGCTTTGAAATTTATGCATACTTCTTTACTTAATACTATCTTGTTCATATAAAATACATGCTGAGGGGGCGTTGTTTTAGCCATTGAATGGCTCGGGTTTGGCCCTCGTTGGGGTTGATTAATACCTGTTGGAAGTTGTTTCATGCTTGGAATACTTAAGTTGGGGGCCTAAATATACTTTCTATGTTATTGTTCTTGTTTAAGGCATATATTGGCTCTATATCTTGATATTTCAAAAGCTTGTGAGCTGTTCCTTGGCGTTGAATGGCTCGGTTTTATCTTGAAATGGCCGGAATTTTTAATTTCTATTAAAGCTTGGATTTTAATCTATGCTCAGGCCTTGTCTTGGCCCTGAATGGCTCGGATTTGGGTCTTTGTGGGTACTCAGTTTTCATTGTAGGAGCATGAGATGTTAATTTTTGTTGAGGCTTTGAAGCTTCTTTACTAGTTTTAAGGGTCTCGCTCTGGCCCTTGCTGATTTTCGATTTGCTTAAAAGTGGTTGGATGTTAATTTATGTTGAGACCACGGTCTTAATTTCTGTTGGAGCTTTATTTTTGGCCTTGAATGGCTCGGTTTTAGCTTCCCTTGGAGCTCGGTTTTACTTGCTTTGGTCCTACCCGTGAGCTCACCATTGAGATTTGCCCCTCTAGCAGTCCTTACCCGTGAGACCTATTGGAGGTTATTTGGTGTGATTTAGTCCTTGTTGGGCTTAAACTACTTGGATGATTGTAGGTGGATTGAAATTATAATTATATTTTGTACTCTCTTATGTATATCAAAGATCCTCATAGAATTGATTCGGGTTGCCTTTGACGTGAGCTTTTCTTGTGCTTGGACTGATTTTTCCTTACTTTGGCTGTGAGCCTTGTTCAGTGGGCACTGCCCTTGTGGCCTTCGGTTTTGCCCTCTAATCGTGAGATCAGTAGGCATAGGTCTGCTTCCTTTTTGTCCCCCACCCGCGGATTTGTGTTGTGTTGGGTTCCCGCTTGCCATATGTGGCCGTGAGCTTCCTATATGAAATCTGGTTTGGTTTGTTTTGGCTCCTACCCGTGAGCTAGTTTGGAGTCCGGTTGTGCTTTTATTGGCCTTACCAGTGACCCTCTACCCTCTTTTGGCCCTGTTTCTTACCTTGGTCGTGAGCCTTTCCTGTGCCTTGGGTTGCCTTGGCCGTGAGCCTTTTTTGGCCCTGTTTCTTGACTTAGCCGTGAGTACCTTGTTCTGTTGGTGGACTTAGCCGAGAGCGTTGGTGGCTGTTTGCTCTCCTCTATTGACCCCGACTGTGAGCATCTATTTGGTTCTATGGGAAGATTTTATGCTTATTTGATATATGAGGCCATTGATTAATTTGGAAGTTGGAGGATCCTGATTTTTGCATGGGTTTGGGAGTACTAGTGGTGGTATTCTTCGGGTTATTTTCCTTTTGTGAAGTTTGGGAGATTTTTAAGTCTCATTTTGGAAAAGCATTTGGTTGGAATGAATTAATTTCTTAAAAGATATCTTTGTGGTTTGGATATCGGCGTTAGGAGGTCATTTTGACTTGGGTTGATCCACTTATAAAAAAGTGAGAAAATGATACCCTTTCGGATTGATTCAAGGATCTTCGGGCTTTCCTTTTCAGGTCTTTTATTCTTGGTTCGATTTTTTATGCTTATGATCGATACATAAGTGTCCACGTATAGCCTTTCGTCATACGTGTCGCAAGTAGGTCGGTTTTGTTTTGGGGCTTCGGGCGGTGATGACAAAGGCACACCGGAGATAGAGCAGAATGATATGTCATCCTACGACATCGGGATCCGATTCAGGAACCCATCAGGATCCGATTCAGGAACCCGGTGAGCTATAGAATGACAGTATCATTCACCGACACAAGACTAGCGGGAGTTGATCCGAACCTTCTTAGATTGTTGTAGCCTCGGGAGTTGATCCGAACCTTCTTAGATTGTTGGAGCCTTATGCCCGACAGCGCGATCGACTCGTGGACAACTACTTTTCAAAATTAATAAAAACAAATTTGATAAGAACAAACATACATTTTTCTAAAACAAAAATATATTTTTCGCTACATACAAAATTGATACAGCCC